AGTTGGGTTGGGAAGTTCTCCCCCCACCCACCATATTCTCCAGCTATGGGACCATCAGTTTACCATCTTTTTCGTTCGTTGCAACACCATCTTAATGGGAAAACGTATGCAAATATGGAAGCTGTTAAAGAGTATATCAACGACATGTTTTTTGCTTCAAAGCCAAGTGATTTCTTTAATTAGGGCATTAACAACCTGATTGTAAGATGAAAAAGCATCATCGATGAGAATGGAGACTATTTAATATGATGTTTTGTTTTGATATATAAGATGTTTGGTTTTTTTTTTTCATTTAAAGAAAGTGACATTAATTTTTTGACGACCTAATACATATAAAAGTTTATTTATTCCAGGAAATGTTGCATTGCAAATCCTATATAAATGTTTGTTAACAAAGAATAAGTTATGATCAATGCCCACATAGAAGTTTAGTATCCAAGAAAAGTGTATTTTTAAAATCTGTTGTTTTTCATTCTATAAAGTATGTTATGAATTTAGTACATGTGCAAGATGTCTTTTTAGATTTTACGTGTTAGTGTAAATGAGTTTTATGTAAATTAATGTTCTATTAACCCTCTCTGCACAGGCATCCTTTAATGCACATGTTAAGATTTTTAGTGACTTGCATTCAAAATTTAATTTAACTACTTTTTGTTTTTGTTATACCATTTAGTATAGCATAAAATCTTGGCTAATAATCCATATTTTAATTGCATAACTTTTAACTTCTTGATCTTATAAAGCAATATTTAAAAAAAATCCTGAATTTCCCCTAGTGTGAGATATGTGACTTTTTTTCTCTAGGCATCCCCTCTTTAATTTATTCACCACCCCTCCAATAAGTACAAAATGTAACATAAATTACTCATCATAAAATTATCATTGCTCAGACAAACCATGGTTTTTATAGCCTTCAATCTTATTTGGTGAGCCATCAAATAGAAAATCAGGCCTCTCTTGCCACACCCACCCTCCAATAAGTACAAAATGTAACATAAATTACTCATCATAAAATTGTCATTACTCAGACAAACCATGGTTTTTATAGCCTTCAATCTTATTTGGTGAGCCATCGAATAGAAAATCGGGCCTCTCTTGCCACACCCACATGTCGCATCCTCTCTTTTAGGATTTGTTAATAGTTTTCTTACATTTAATAATATATTATTTATAACCAATAGTAAGCCAAGGTTATCTATCAAATAATGTATTATATTAAATTGCTTTCTGAACAGAGAATTGTCAATTTCTCTTTTAGTACAAGTTTCATTCCCATGGGAAAATGTCATCTAGCGTGGATGAATTTGTAACGGCTCTTGTCACATAGTTAAAACGCCAGAAAAAGTGTGATATTTATAGGAAATTGTCTACTTTTTGTGTATTATTATTCTATGTTCTTTGGTGCATTAATTAATTAAATATAAATTATTTAGTGCAATACTACCATTAGTATAAAAAATATAAAAGTAGAGTTAAATGTCATTGACAGTTGACAGCAAAAAAAAAACCTGGGTAAGTACTTTATTTCTTGTTTTTCATGTGTATTTTTTATTTATTATTATAAAAGTAACTAAAATGTAAAAATAGGAATCTCTAAGTTAGTTAAAGTTAGATTAGGTAAAATATATAGTCATATAATAAAAATGTTTCATGAGGCATGCACACGAGCAGCTAGCTCGGAGTAGCTCATGGGTAATGTAATTCAATAGCATAACGTGAGCTCTATGATCCCCAAGTGATTTACAACTTATAATGGCATGAATAGTAGGTACACAATTCAAAGGGCAATAAAGCAATAAAATTTTAGTTTAAATACATGTATACTGTTACGTGTTTAAAGCTACTTAGAATAAATTAATATAGTTTCATATTACAATTTAAAGTCATTCCAGAAAGAAAAAAAAGTGTAATTTAGGTTACTATTTTTTGGTGGTTACAAGGTCGGTTAAATTGACCAATCTTGTATAGAGTTAGGGTAGAGAAAATAACATATAAAATATGAAGTTTTACTGAAAAATGTTTGAAATGTATTTAGGAAATTTGAGATTTTTGAGATGAAGAAAAGTATTTTTAGTCTTAACATGAAAATCACTTTGCACTCAGACTGGTAAAAAACAGGTTTTTTTTAGTCTATAAAAATGTCTTAAAATGTCTATAAAAATGTCTTAAAACATTTACTGAAAGTCTGGCAACTTTTGTGAAGATATACATACTATATTAAAAGTTAGTAGTATCAAAGCTATAATGACTTTAAATGATTACAAAGTGGTCACATGGTTGGTCAATTCGACTGAGCCCAAGTTGAGAGAGTTAAAGACAAAAGATATCTCATGCTGCAATAAGCTTCCATAATTTAGTTAATTTCAGATGAGCACTAATATAAGTAATTATATTGTGTGCTTTAAAGTAAAATGAGTTCAGTGAGATAGAGTTCCAATAAAAATTAAACATGCAGTAAAGACTCATTTAGTACCTTTTTTTTCAACATTAAGTGTCAGTATTTGTCAAATGTCACCCAAAATAATTCTCTGTGGATGTTCTTCACATCAACATCTACATGACAGTAAGAAAATAATTTTATAATATTTTTATCAAACAACTTTCAGTTAGTATTTATTTATAATTCCCATTACAAGTTATGTCAGAAAAAAAGAAGCAACTGCATTCAGAACACTTCTGTTTAGTGTCATATTAAAGCTAATTTAATTTAGATTAAGCTAAATATACATTCAAACAGTCCTTACATGTACATTATTTTGGAAATTGTTATATCTGGTCGACCACTTTTAAGGCAAAGTTAATAGTGTACAATTCCATAGATGTTTTAATTTGTAGCCACAAGGAAGTTTGTAGTGTCAGTATATGTTTTACTTGTAATCATTGTGAAAATCTGTCATTATGTTACAATAATGTAAATTAAAAATTATCCATGTATAAAATAAGAATACTATCTGAAAATTTCCAGTTTTAATATTCTATTTTTGAGATTATGATAATTGTTATTAACCTTTGTGTCATGTAGGAGGAGGAATCAATTTACATCTCCATTCAGCAACTTCGAGATAAATCCATAGAGCTAACCCAGAGAATAGAGGAGTCTGAAAGACAAGGAGATGACACTTCTGTACAGCTTTACCGGGCACAACTTACTGACACACAGCAGCAGCTGCTTATAAAGAATGAAGAGAGAAGGTAGTGTAATAAAGGTGTGAGGTGAATGTTAGGTGTGTTATGATAACACTTGATAGTTCAGTACTCTGAGGATTGTGTCTTAGCACTGCCATCCTTACATCATCTTACATTTACAAAATGTTTTTTATTACTGGTGAGTTGAGTATTGGTTACATGGTATTAGAGATATATCATGCAGCCTGATAAACATACTGTCTGATTTATTACAATGATCAAACTTGTACGTAACTTTTTAAGCTAAATTTTAACACAAATGTATGATGAATGTGGTCCAATAACTGTGTTGGTTAAGTTTTAATACAGGTGTTTGGTGTGCTGTGATCAATATACTGGTCTAATAACTTTGTAAGTTAAGTATTAATAGAGGCATATGGTGTATTATGGGGAACATAGTACTCCAATACCTTTCTGGGTTAATCACAGAAATATTGAACCTAAAGGCACATTTTAGAGTGACAAAGATTCCATTACCAGTTTTCTACAGAAATGAGAAAAAACAATTACAGTAAAAAATTTACAAAGCTAAATATATGTAAAAATCACACTAGATTAATGATAATGGAATCCTTGTTCTTCTGAAACATTTAATAAATATGCTTTGTACTACTACATTCATATTTTCTTTTGTGATAAAGGTACATTTTCTGGCTTAACTCTTTTAATGGGTAGAAAATCCAAAATTTTTTAAAAGTTAACTAAGTGGTTTTTGGTAAATTCAATCAGAAAATAAAACATAATTGGAATTATTTTAACCTTTTTCTTATTTTTACATCATTTTTGAGGGATGGCAGTACAGTTATCAATGCCTATAAAAACTTCTACAATCTGATGGCAACTAGAAAGGGTTAAGTATTAACATGAGCACATGGTGTGCTATGATGAACATAGTGTTCTACTAACTTTGTTGGTTAAGTACTAACATAAATCTATGTTCTGCTGAGATGATCATACTGGTATGTTGTGAAGAATGATGTGCCATGCTTATTTCCATTTTAACTTTTTTGCAGCTTAGTATCTGGTGTTTTTTATGAGGGCAAAAAGATATCATTAAGTTTGAAATATTCAGATATAATTTTATTAACATTTGTTTTGAATACGGTAATAAAAGTTTAAACTACTAATCCTAATTGTTGATCCCCCCCCCCTTCTGCAATTGTAAATTTTATTTAGGAAGTAAGAATAATTGAATTTTCTCTTTGCTTAAATAAAACTTGTCAGTATATGAAACACAGCTGCAAATCTGTTGATTTTGTACATGTTTTTTTGCTTATTTCTAGCTCAAATCTTTTGAAAGCTGTAAATTTTTAAACTTGGTGGTATCAGTATTTTTTAATGTAGTTGAATGATGTTTTAGTTCTACCGCTTCTTAAGCTAACAAAATCATAAATATATGTTTTCTGAAAACATGGACTATTTTCTTCACAATCTATTAGTCATAGAGCTTTTCTTCCTTGTGTGGATTGTAAATTTCTAATTTGTATTGAGTACATCAGAGGCTTTCCTTATCATATGCTTTCAAATAATGTATATGATCTTTATTTATTTTTAGTATGGTGTATAAGGATAATAAGTAGTAAAAGCATTTTGTAAATGTAAAAATGATGTAAAGATGGCAGTGGTGAAAAATATACAAACAAGAATATAGGGATGATATAGATTAACATAGATCATCCCTACATGACTTTCAATATTCAAATTTAATGTTACACTAAAATGCACGAGTACAAAATGGTTACGAAGTCGGTCAATTCAACCAACTTCATAGAGATAGTCTGTAATAATCAAGACATATTTTGACTCAACTTAGTTTTCCTTGTACGTTTAGCCCTCTTAGTTGCACAACATTGATGCCTACCCTGATGCGACTATGATATTATGATAAACAAACTGCATACCAACAGTTAGGAATATATAACTTTTAACTGCAGTAATGTTAAAGTCAATTATGCATTTTATAGTGTAACATTAAATTTTATTATTGGAAGTGATGTAAGGATGATCTATATATATCATTTTACATTTACAAAATGTTTTTCATTACTTGTTTTGTGGCATTTTTCTCCCTGACTGAAAGATAGTGTATTCTATAAATATGTGTAATAAAATTCAATATTATGTGTATTTAATTTTTTTACTCCTTCACTTGATACATAATACAAGAGTTGTCTCCCTAAAGACACTGATTGTATAGTGTACAAAGCATTGAGTATTCTACATGTTACAACAATATAAAGTGCATCTGTTATTTGCTGGTAATTCCTGTTTCACCTTGTACTTAAGCTTTTTAAGATTCTGGTAAGCGAGAAACCCACCCTTGGGGCTTCCATGCTTACTTTTTTTTAAATTATCAAAAATTAATGGACAAAGTGCACAGTATGTGCTCAATGGCCTAAAAAAAGGCAAGAGCAACTTTCAGAATTTAAAAATCCTTTATAATGGCAGAGAAATAGGCAAAAATGATTGGCTATCTCCTGACTTCCAAGAAAATCAAAGGAAAGATTCGGAATACTTTGATTCTAGCAAATATTTGTTATTTTAGTTCCATTGACGTTATTAATCAATTTCAATGCATAGTTAGTGAGAATAAACATATTTCTTGTTTTCTTCTAGTACGTCTTCAGTCTCAATGTCCAAATCTTGTAACGAAACACACTCTTCAGCACACATATCCCTAAGAACATGTTGCTCTGCCTCTTCTAAATCTTGCTGGGTATCTCTGGCTCCATTTCTATGATAAGCTCGTTAATTTTATAAGCACTTAAGTTGAAAAATGCTTTGATTTTAGCAATTGAAATGTCCAGGTGCTCAACCCATTCATACTTCAAGGTACCATCTAGAAATATTTTATGTGCCTTGTCCGCTGAAACTCTTCTACTCTTATCATGACGCCCTAACTCATATAAATCCTTCAAAGCCAGCAATGTTCCATGTGACCAAGTGAATTTAAACGTCCCAGGATATGCTGCACATTCTTTTTAGATAATACTTGACTTGAGCACTTCTTTTGTTTCGAAAACAAATTCTGTGCTGTTGGGAAATTCTTTTATCTCAATGCCAACAATTTCAAGGGCTATTTTGAAGATGTCACCTTCCCCCTCCGTCAGCATTCTCCTGGCTCTGATCTGGCAGTCTCAGCATTGGGAGGTTCGGGTCAGACTACCAGAAGTGGCTTTTCTGAAACAAAGTGTCACTTAATTCAAACATTCAGTGTTTGCTTCACATGTGTCATCAAGTTTCTTGTGTTTGACAATTTTAGGACTTGTATTATCTGAAGCCTGAATAATTTGAACAGGATATTTGAACCATTTGACGTCATGCATTGAACTACTTCCAGTTTTGGCAGTATACTTGCATGAAATAACTGGTCTCTTAAGACCACTTGCATCCACTATAACTGAGGTTGTTCCTGCAATGCCACCTTGAAATGAATAAATCCTTTCTTCCGATGTGATGTCATTTCCATCCTCCAAGTACGCTTTAAAGCTATATTCACAAACGAAGAGTGGGTGTCCTAGTGCATTTTTCCTGTTTGTGCCTCTGTATAGACCCATCTATCCAGTTGTAATGACTCTTGTAGATTGTTGTTAACTTGAAGCTCCTTGTTGATCTGGTAAATGTATGGAATAAACTCCTGTGATGCAAATCTTGTAGTATTATCACTCTGAAATGTCACGTGATGAACATCTGGAAACTTCTTTCATAACTACAGTGGCAATACTACTTACTTGTACATTATCCTGGCCTGTGTATCCATCTAATACATAGTCTACAAAAAATGATCCCAGCCATTTCCATTCCACTGAATAATCATAACACCAAGCATACTTATTCCTTTTTTTCCAAAATATTCTATTTGACCTTCCCTGTCCTTCATGGGAAGGATTTTTTCTTTGTGATCCAATACTGCAAGAATTTTTTTGTAATTGTTACATATGCCCTCCATAACACATGTAATGGCCTAACTGAGTCTTAGCCCATAAGTGATACAAAACGTAGCATATTACTGAATCCTTTAATGCAGGTATACACCGAAGCATATTCAGGATCTGTGGTTAATGTAATGTTCCTCTGTAGCATGACTACAAACTTGTTGCAAGAAATCTTTCACTTCTGTTTCAGAAAATGTGTAGCAGGCACTGCATTTATTAGTCTGATATGAAATCACCATCTACTGCCATTATTGCCAAGTGTTGCTCATCATCTACTCATAGAGCATATAGACATGATTCCAATGGATCAGTGCGTGAATGCTGAAGATGCTATTTGGCATACGCAAACGACATGAAATTCTCAATGGATTCCAACCTGTCCACAGTGGATTGTGCCATGGCCTTCCATGCTTTCAATGTCCAAATTGCAATATTCCATTTTCTTCATGCATGTCACCATCTTCTTAAAAATATCGATTGCATACATTTGGAGCAGTAGTATGTGGACAATCCTGTTTTGTTTTACCCTTGCTTGCTTATGACTTTCACCACATCTTTGAATGTTGGCTTTCCAACTTTCTGTGCAAGGTCATTATACTGGTTCCATAATGCCTTCAAACTCTTTCCTCCTCGGTCTAGCACTGGTAGATGTCGAAATAAACATCCGGCAAGTCGTACGTTATGAGTTGAGCCAGGCCTTAGAGCAAGTATTGGCAGCAGAAAAATGATTAAGTTTGCTACTTTTGTTGGGTCAATTGGTAAATTGAAATCTTTTTTTTGGGGGGAATCTTTTCCAGCTTTCAAGATATCAAAAGTCTTGCATAAGCTTGCAATTTCAAATTGCCACCCAACATTCTTCTTACAGGGACATTGGAGCCACTCTGTTCTTCCTATTGCTCTCAGTTCTCTGCTTCTTCAAAGCACCTTCATTCTGTAGTAAATCATGAAATGATTGTCGATGAAGGTACTTTGCAAGGATACTTTGAGCAACTGTGAAAACCATTGTATTAGCCAAAAGATGTAGTTGAATAATGTTTTTCTCCAGCTTATTTCTATCATCCATTCGTTTTGGATCTTCAAGTAATCCCTGCAACATTTCTGTAGCAGATGGACACACTGCTTTAAAACAATGGACACAACTTTAAAACTCCATTACACACAAGACGACACTCTTGTAAAGCTCTCAATCATGTTCTCCCAGGCTCAACTAGTTTTTCTCCATTGATACCAATTTTTGGAAAATCATTGAGTGAGATCTGCTCAATGTTTTCCTCAATTTGTCAAGATTGGTCAATGCACTACCAGAAGAACCTATTCCATCATTAAAGGACAATTCATCATCTGAGCTGCCATCTAATCCATCAATGAGCCTCTCTTGATAAGCTCCCCTAAGCACTGATCGTCTGGTCATCCTTCTCTTTTTTTACTGGCTTTTGGATTTTTTGCACTACTCCACGTCTACTTTAGGGGATAACATGGCAATGTTTTGCTGTATATATATAGTTGGAGGATCACAATGTTAACACATTTACCAGCTTTTGCAGCTTCCTTTCTTTTGTATTTATGTTCTTCACATGTTCCTGGCCTTCTCATAACTTTGGTCATACTTGCACCGTGCAAAAATAGAAATATTATTTCGAAACAGCTGAATTTTGTGCATATGGCAGCGTTATCTGGTTTTTATGGTAACTTTCCGAACAAAAAAATGATTATGAAATTTTTATTTTTTCTGGCAGAAAAAACTAATTTTGGCAGGGTATCTGACTGATCAGGATCTAAAATGAACACCATGTTTCTGTAAGAAAAATAACTTCAAGGGGTAATGATAACATTGTTTACACTAGTTATGATTGTTTTGTTTTTAATTACTACTAGTTATTACGACTACACATTGACATCGGGCACTGCCCAAAAACGAACACAGTGGATTTAGGTTTAAATTGACTTTAGTAATAAAGTAGTTGTAGAGTTATCTTAACTGAAACAAGAAGAGGAAAGATAAACAAAACAGTGGGTTGGGCACTTTTTGGTTTAGTATCTTAGTGATGGTTTCTTGCTTTGTTTTTGGGCTTGTTAGGTAGAGAATCAAATGAAAGTGAGTGGCAATTATCTTTTTAAAGTAAAACTCCTTGTCATTGTTGGTTTTTTAGTGTGTTATGTATGGAATTCACTGACATTTGTAATGATACTCATGTATTAATAACACTGGCATTGGGTGACGTTTCATTAAAATTTAATAGTCAAAATTTACACATAAAATAAACACTGAAACAACATCTTATTACACAATCTTCTTACCACAACCCACACACACACACCTTGAATTTCTATAGGTGCGGCATGTGCCGCACTTAGTTATTGCTGAGTGGTGATTGACCAATCACAGTAAAAATAAAATGAAATACGCATCACTAAGTTGAAATGGGGATAAGGAAGTAAAGCATATATACATGTAACATTACTAAATTAGAAGGGGAGTAAGGAAGCCAGAAACGCATAACAAGTGTGCATATATGTATTGTGTTTATTGAGTATCTTGGCCATCCCTACATATAGTCTATCAACTCCACGATAAGTTCATTTTATTGGTCACCCTGCTTGTTTATTTACTTTGCTGATATAACTAATTGACAGCCCTTTTTGTTTTGCTTAACAAAAACTCTTACTTATAATTTGAAACTGTGGAAACTTGTAGCATAAGCTTAGAAATTAGTGGAGGGTCTTCTTTTTTTTTTAAACAGTTGTACCTAACATCTAAGAGAATAGTGGAACTATTTATTATTAATAAGATGAAATGCTATCTATATAAATTATCTTAATGATATGAACAGTATTTTACTTAACTTTCAGTAGAGTGGGCTAATGCATTGTCATTAGACCTGTGATTGTATTATTGCTAATAAGCATGTGTGAAATTTAACCTTCAAACCAAAAGTTTTTTCATTTAACTGTAACCAGTAAGTTTGCCAAAAAAATTAAGTTACATTGATAAACCTTTAATGGTTATTATGCTTTGTGTTTGAAGTGTCTATATTTCAGATATAGCCCCATTTATTAGTTACTAATTTCTATAAATCAAAATATAGAAATACCTTTCCAATGCCACCATGCTGGAAAAGGATGATCAGTATTAATTTCTGACCAGAGCAAGCTACCTACAAAGCTAATTAAGTACACTGTTCTTACATTTTTATTCATAAAGATTAGAATATATTGTTTTGTCAGGAAGGTACCCTCACTGTTAGCTATATTTCTGGCTGTAATCCCAACAATTTTTCATGTTGTTCAGCCAGTTTAGGAGATGTAAGTTATTCCTAAATCTGTGTAACGAGTTAAAAATGCAAAATAATCTTTATAATAAAAATAGATATATTAAATTTTCTAACTAATACTGTTAATAAAATTAACGAGAGAATTACAAAAAATATTCTATATTCTTATGAGAAAGAAAATTATTTCTTTTATTTTGTTGTTTACATACTGCATTGTTTCTCCTTCAGGATAAAAGCACAGTCAAGACAACCTTCACGGGAATGAGCTACATTAACTTGTGATGCTGGTTGTTATCTGGGACCTACTTACGGTTCAAGACCTGAGCCTTATGTTGTTGTACATAAGTATCTACTTAGTTTACAAAAAACCAGTGTTATTGTAGGTAATGAACTTCTGGTTTTATCTCTCTGACTTGTACAATTAAAGAAGAGACAAAATTAAAAGTCCATTAGTACAGGACTATTTTGAACAGAGAAAAAGGAAGGGGTCAGCATGATAAGATATTGTATAGACTTAGTAGTTTAAACAAATTGTTAAATTGTATTAGTTGATTGAACTTTGAGCTACCATAAATACATTTCTGTAGTGGCAGCTTTTGTGATTAATTTTTCTGTCAAAAGTAAGTATGTATTAGTTTCTTCATATTTTTATGGTGAAACTGTGAAATTGTCCTAGTTATCGAGCTTTAAATGTTTTGCCTTCTATTAGAATGGTAAAATATGGAAATGGTGAGTGTTAGTTAATCAATTTCATATTTTAAAAAAAACATATCATGTCTGCCAGTGACATTTTATGTCAAACTATTTGCCTGTGAATTATTTGATTTTCTGTATTTGTGTGTTTCCCCACTTGGAAATTTTGACAGACTGCTGATCTCTGTCAAATTTTAAATATGTTAGCATATGCTAAATGTAACATATGTAAAAAAAAAAACAAAAAAAATAACCATGAATTATTTGAGATCTCTAACAAACTAAAAGTTTTTCAAAGATTCCTACATCTATCTTTTATTGGATCCTTTCATTGTGTTACTTTTCAAGTGGAGATCTCATTCTATTTTCTTATGTAGGAAGAATTAATAAACAATCAACTATAAGTTAAGTCTTTAACGCTTCATAATTCAACAGTGTGTCATAATGATTATAAGTAACTGACAAATTAATTCTTATGTGACCAAATTTTCTCTTCTTACTACTACCTCTTACATTAATGATTAATTAAAACTTTAAATTGTACAGTTTACTTGTGCATCATAAACTTAAATGCATTACATTACACAGAGTTCAAAGGATAAAAAGTTGTAAAACTTCACAGATTCAGTTTCTACAAGGTTATATATGTACCAATGCATTCTATAGTTGAAAGGCTATAATTATAAACCTTACAAATTCAATCTGTACTAATACACAGCAAGGTTGAGAGGTTATAAACTTCACACATTCAGTATCTATCTACATGAAAAGATTCAAAGGCTATAGTTATAATCACCACACATTTAACTCAGTACCAAAATACTTTTGTAACAATAGGCTATTAGTATAAACTTTATATGGTCACTCAGTATTTGTGTAGGCATACATTATTAATATAGCCAAAGTACAAAATTTGGAGTGTTTTGACATAATTATATGTACAAAAATGGAGAAGAGTTGAAACGTGTTTTTTATATACCAGTAATATAGATCTAAGAATTATAGGGTTTAGGCATTTATATTCCATAAACACAAACGTAATATAACCCAACAAGTTGCAAGGCTAGGTGGTTTAGTTGTTTATGGCATGATTGGAGGGTTTAGTTCATATAATTTTAGTCCATCTCAGAAAATCAAAATATGCAAGAATAGAATGTCCTGACACTTTTATGATTTCTTAATTCATAGAAAGAGTGATTGTATTAGGATTCAAACATTTTTGTAACACAAACTATTATCAGTATATAACTACATATTGCAGGGATTTAGGGTTGCAATATTCATGTGGCTTAATTAATACATCATCATTATACATTAATGAATTGTAGGGTTGGTAGGTTTAGGCATTCTTATGATTATAAATCATCTGTTTTATATACAGATTTTTGTGTGTTTGGAGGGTAGATACTCATATGATTACACCACATGTACAGACCTGTATGTGTTAGAGAGTTGAGGCATACCAGTAGTTGGGGGAGAATTGTGGTAATTATATGACCATATACCATCTGTATACACCAGCAATTTGCTAGGTTAGTATGTTCAGACATGATTCTATCACCATCATTGTACACTACTAAACTACAAGATTAAAGGGCCTAGACAAGTGACTTTTAGACTCCATCAGTATATCCACACATTACTGAAAACAAAACTACTAGGTCATGACATTTTTATACTTAGGTAATACAATCATATGTTGAAGTGAAACTGCAAAATCTGTGAAAGTGGATTAATGTTCAGATACCATTTTCTTTCACTGGCATGAAAAATGTAGACAATTTATAAGTTAAAATACTAAACAGCTGGCAGTTTATTGAAATTTTTGATAGAAACATCAATCTTCACTTAAAATGGGATTGTTATTTTCTGAAACTCCTACTGTGATGCCAGAGATTATCTCTCCATCTAGTCTTCATACCTTCCATATTTTGTTTTGTGCAGGTTCTTAGCTTGTATCAAATCACTGTCAGATATTAAAATCATACACCACATCTAAATCTTGGTGTACAGACATGCTAATTGTTTTGCACATAGTCATCTAATGCTTTGTTGCTCAGATTAGGAAGCTGTGTGAATGAAATGGATAAGAATTATTGTATTATAACAATGTGAGTTTAATTTTTATAAACTACTGAGAATTGATAAATCTCATTGTATGTGCACATTTTTCGATTATCAGTTGTACTCGAAGATTTAGGATTATGGATAAATTACAGACTGCTGAGATTAATATAAATGTGTTAGTTTGAAAAGGTCTACAACTGCAGACATTATAATTAAACTTAATTTTCTGCAATGCCATAACATTAATAACTAATCATTTTAATTGAGTTTAGTTCAATTTTGTTATTAACTCAAACATAAAACAGCAGTAAGCCAATAACAAAATATTTTAATTCAGGAAAGACAATGAAAGATATTTACATTATAATAGTAAAAAGAAAGCCAGCATTGCATGTTTTAATTTATACAAGATAATTACTGCATTGTTAAATGAAACTTAATCTAGAATTAGAAAATCAGTAACTAAATGTTTTAATTGAGAAAAGTAAAATATAATAACATTGTTATATAAAAATATTGTAGCAACACTATGCCAGTACCTGTTTTATTTTAGAAGGTAAGGAAAAGTACAAACATTGTTGAAGTCAATGTAACTAAGGACCATGAAAAAAATAAACACATCATTATTTAATACTGTTATCCCTAAAAACTGTTGCAAGACCAATCTTCTACTCTTAGAAATATATGTTAAAATACAATTTCTTGTTTAACCTAGAGTTGATTATTGTATTATTGAATATGTTAGTGAAAATCTAGTTACAACAGTTTATAGTCAGAGCTCTAATTTTTCAATGTCTCCAAAATTTTAATCATGTTTCCAAACCTGAACCATTGTATCTAGTTTGATTTGTTTTGTTACTATCAAGAAATATGATGTTTATTTTTTCTAAGTTTCCTGGATATGCCAATTTCATTTCAGAAGAAATAAAAATGTAACTCTTTGTCAAGCTGAAACTCGGTCTGTGTAATTTTACAAACTTTTTTTTAAAAAAAAATTCTAACAAACTTACTTTTACTAGCAATATCTTTTGTTATTATTAATGAAATTAGTTACTGAAGTAACTAACATTTTGATTAAAATAATACACTGACTGGCCACTTATTACAACTCTCCACATAATATCAGGTTGGATCCCTTTTTGCCTTGATAATAGCCTTGACTTTTGTTAGTTTTACTATGATCTTCAAATAGCTTACATATGTCAACAGAAGATAATAGTGGCAAAATGAACATTTAAGTTCATTCCAAAAATTACGATCTTATAATAACTGTTGTCCATCAAGATAGAAATGCATTATGAGATGGATGTAATAGTAACAGTTGTTTGTCACATAATGTTGCCACTATTACACCACTTCCAATAGCTTGTATTATCAAAACAACACAAGTATGTCAAATGCCTACTGGTTTTCCTCCATATTTTTACTATCAGTACAGATGCTTGTGGTCATCCATTGTGGAAAGTTTTTTATAAGCACAAATAAAGCCACACTTTTTTCTGTTTACATCTGAACTAACTGTTCTTGGACTGGTTTTCAGCAGATTTTATAGCATCCTTTGTGCATTATATTTGAATATAGTTGAATTGTAATAACTGTTGAAGGAGATCAGTTAAGACACTGTGTAATGTGTGTTCTATTTTACGTGTGTTCATTCACCTTTTTCCACAGCATTTGGTGCTCACAGTTTGTACTAGCAGTGGTCATATCAACTTGATTTCCACTGTTAATAATGTCTTTGAATATCTGGTCAAAGAAAGAGTTTTTGTTGACGTTCCTGCTTGAAAGGCACCAGCCGTTATGCTCTTTCAAAGATTGGAGTAATACTTGAATTTTCCTTTTTTTCCAGACTGACCATGATCTCAGCACAAAAATTTAGATCTAAAAATATGGCCAATCAGGTTAATGGTTCTTATTTCAATATGTAGACACACACACATGTTCAGTATTAATGATATCTTGATTGTGATGACACTCAATTTCATATTAATGAGCTGTAACCTTGAAAGGTGAAACAAAAACTTAGTAGTAGTAATAATTATCTGTTCAGATTTTAAACTTCTAAGTGATTCAGGAAATGTGGTTGTCCATCTATCTTTGTGCTTAATGATTTTGCCTCATTTCTTGATCTTCAGCTTTCACATTGAAATATATCACAAACTAGTTTCCTTTAAAATACTTTTTTGTAATTCCAATGACCTCAATTCCATGGGATATAAAGTGTTGATTTAAATGCTAGGTTGAAAATTATTTACTTTTTTGGTTTGTTTTTTTCATGCATCTCCCAGAACTTAAATAAGTTTCGTGAGACTTCCAAGTTTTATTTGTAGAGGATCAGTTTACTATGACTTTTAGTATGATATAGACAAAGAAATTCTATCTTTAAGAATTGTGTTAGTTACAAAAAATTTTGACATATTTTCACAAAATAATCAGCTTAATATCTATAGCAAACTTTACATTAAAAAAGAATTACCCACAATTTTTTTCTCTATCATACTTAGTATTTATAATTACATTACACATTTAAACAAATGATGATAAAAAATGGGTTTGTTATAATTTAATCCAACCTTTCATAAAATGTCACATTGATAAAACAAATTATAACTATGTTCACACTTAAAACAATGCCCTTTCCTGCAAACCAGGTGTGGCTCAATAGTTAGCATGTTAAACTGTGGATCCAAGGTCCCATGGATGCATTATAAAAGTGACTGTCAAATTTCACTTTTTGATTCAACCAGACCACTAGTTGGCGGTGTTGACTAGCTGTCTTCCATTTAGTCTATCTCTTCAAAATTATAGATGGCTGGTGCAGGTTGCCCTTTAGTAAAACTATTACTTGGTTAACATTTCAGATATGTAATAATGTTTTGTTTTGCTTTTTTTTTCCTTAACAATATTAAATAAGTACTATAATTTGTACTAATTCCAAACCTTGTTTTGATAATTTTGGAACTAAGTATCAAAGTATAATACTTAGAAGTACTATCACTGTTGTTTCTATAAAATTTAACAAATAACTTAAAACTTTTTTTTTACTAATTCATCAGTTCTACTACCCTTTTTATGTACAATAGTGTTTTTCAATTTTAAAAATGTTCTGTCTTCCAGTCTTATTTAGATTTTGCTATTCACCTGGATAATTCAGCCACATTTGTTGTCTTTTATTTCTAGATGGCATCATAGTAGGATACCATCCTATTCAATTTTATGCCCTTCATTAAACACTTTTTTCCCCTTTATTTAACTACATACATACTATCAAATGGTTATCTCATTTTATCTTCTTTCTGGTATCTTTGATATTTATTGTACTACTTGTGTTATAGTCCAAATTGCTAAACAGGATTGATGCATTAAAGAAATAATTTATATAGGAGTTTACCAACTATATTCATACATTTTTTAAAGTGCATTTTAAGAATTTAGTTGTAAATTATTAGATCAATAAAACAAACTACCTTCTTAAAAAAACAACTGCAAGTTTTTGAATGTGTTAGAGATTATTTCCATTAACAGAAATTGTGCAATGAACAGTGTATTTTGTACATTTAAAAATGTCTACTAATAATTATTTTTACTTGAAAAAGACAATATCATTTCTTTTAAACAAATACACACGTTTAAGGAACAAATAAGACGCAGATGTTTTACGTATCCCAGAAATTTTTGAAGTTAATTCATATCAAATATTAACATAATTAATACAAAAAGACCAAAGCTAGTAGGTTTGACCATAGGATATCAACCATTATATTGTGTCTAAAAATATGAACTATAAATACAACATTATGAACTATTTACTTGTTAATTAGCACTCATTAGTGAAAAATATAAGTGGAATTCAGTTCAGAAAATAGTTAACATTCTTTTTCTCACAGACAGCTTTTTGTTTACACTGAAAATAATTACATTTTTATTTGTAAACAGGATCATAAACTTATTATCATACCAGAGAAGTAAGGTTTACAAAACAGTTTATATATTGTTGTAAACTGTGTTTTTAATATTGTAACTTAGACATTTGTATTGTTTGCTAAAAGGAAGATTGATGTGACGTAATGAGCACAACTTAAGAGTTTGGGAAATTATTTTAATGATATAAAAATACTACTTAGGTTAGTATAGTTATTTATTGGATTTATTATTGAGTTATCAAGTGTGTTAGACAAACATCTATTATTTCAGTTTGAGATTTTTGTGTCTCAACAAAGTAGTACTCACTAGTAAGTAGTAGAGGTATGGGAGAAGTTAGCTGGTAACTTATTGATTAGTGTTATTTGTGAAGTTAGGCCTATCTCTAAGTGAAAATATAGAATAATCAAAAAGAACCAGCCTTTCAGTAGTAACTGTTGCAATAATATTGCATTTATGATAAAACCTTTAAATTGTTTGTTTTGGTTCTAAATATGTTAAAGGTGATGACACACCATATTTGCATGAGAAAGTCCAAGTTTCACAGTTGACAGAATAAATATTCTGTTTGTTTTAAAGAAACCTCTTCATTATTTCAATTGAGTTAAGCTCATTTTTGCATGAAAGACCATCAGTTTTCAATTATGTTTTTAATCTAGATTCTGTACAAGTGAAAAATATGGATCTTACTAATCTTCATGCATATTTTTTTACATTTAGTATGTGGCTCGTGTGTTTTGAAAGTATTCCAAGATTTAAGTAATTTGTGAAAGTAATTTTTTCATATTTTGATATGTTTTTGGCAAAGTTTGTGTATACCTGTAGTAGTTGAAAATATCCATATATAGTTTAAAAAGTGGAAAATTCTATTGAATGAATTATGGTCTCTTTTTTCAGTAGAAATTGTATAGTGTCAAGCTGTTCATAGCGACAAATGATTTTCCACAAATTATGTGACTTAGTTTGGTAAACCTATTCTGTAATTATAAAAGCATTCAATAGATGAAAGTTTAGAGTATCTTAAAAAATGATAACTGATGAAAAATGATAAAGCAAAACAAGATGTGATTCCAAATGCAACAACGTAACTGTATTCACAAGTTTTCCCACCAAAGTACATAGTTGAACAAAATACCATTTTGTTGAATGAGTGCTATTTTGGAAGTAACAAAGTTATATTGGACAAAGTATATGTCTGCAACAGTATAAGCAATTTGTTCTCATCCTGTTGGCAATACAGTATTTTCAATATAATTTATTATGGTTACAGGTTACACCTATATCAAGTTTATGATCCCAAGGGTCAAGATGAATTCTACACACTATCAGGTTAACACTAATATACCATGAAAAAATGTTTTCTTTTAATGGATGCAAACAAAAGTATAGTTCCATAAAGACAAATCCTCCAACTATACACATTCAAGTGAACATGCCAATCCTTCTGCAAGATGCAAATGGGAATTTATGCTATACCATTTGCAATATCTTACAAATAGGTTCTTGGAAGTCATCATGTGTGCACTTGTCTTCAGACTTTAGAAAGCATTTAAAAAGAAGGGTAGGGATAACAATAACCTCTTCATAGTGTGTAAAAGCCTGCTGCAATGGAAATAGTCCACAACCAGAGCTATCACATAAAATGATGGTGCAAGGATAAGCAACAAACAACCATAGTACTTCCAAATCCACAACACAAAAATTGTCAACTCTGAAATTATTAACCTCTTTTTATAGTGTTATATTGAGAAATTTGGTTTTGGCATGTTACAACAAGTGTAAAAAATTAATTTAAAAAGTTGGGGAAAAATCACTTTTCTATTAACCCCAGTAGTAAAAAGTAGGATTAACTGTAGTATTGCTTAATTTAGAGACAAAACTTATTTGGTACATAAATGATTTACAAAACTACTAAGAGTCATGTTTCAAGAGGTTTTAGGTACTAATACACATCTCTGATATGGGTATAAAAATGCTTTTTTTTTATTATTGTACTTTGTCTTTTAATTTATACTTTTGTATTATTGTTTGTTTAGAGGGAATTCTGATGTCAGTAATGAGCATGACCTAATGACTAAGTCTTTTTAGTTGAGGAAATAATTGTACCATTTAAAAAGCAAGTCAGAATAGAGGAGAGATGATCGAGTTACAAAGTTCCCTTTGCCAACTTGACATTTCATTATTGTAAGTTTGTATTTATGATAAAGTATTACAAATATGAGAGAAGTTGGCAAGTGAAATTGTTGTTTTAACATCAACTGTGAACTTAGGCCTATCAATAAGCATTAGTTAAGCCACCTTGTTTAACTTACAGTTGAAGGAATAAAATGATGTTTTTGTTATTACTAAGTGGGCTTGAATTTGAATTATTTTTTTTTACCAAAACCAAAAGAATCCACCCAACAACTGAAACTTAAAATAGCATTACTAATGGAATGTACTTACTAAAAATAATTCTCTAATTAGTGTGGAAGTGATATTATTGGTTTCACTGAAAGAAGCATACATGCTGAAACTGTTAAAACAGATGGTTCAGAGTCCAGACTGTCTCACAGTAACACATTACAAGTCAGTATTAATAAGAAACTAACTAAAAAAAGAATCACTCTTTTGACTAACATTTCAAAGTGTGGTGAATATTATAATACTTATTTCTACGGTATAAGTAAATTGGCAATTTTAACAGAACTATTAAACTCACTAAAAACTTCTCTATTTGTTGGTTTTCTTAAAATAGTTGTGAAGGAATTTAGTTTAATTATAATGCACGTGAGAAATAAAACTGAGTTAATTAAAGTAATCTGAATAAATGAATGAACACACAAAAATATCTGTGAATATGTTTTCCATATCTTTTCTCTTTCCAAAACATATTACATTATTTTTTGTAGCAGATAATTTAAAATATCACTTTTATGAATACAAAAATATTGGCTATTTCAAATATTTAAGTAATCAGTATAGAGCTCTTAATCAAAATTTACATGCAAACTTACTTTTAAGAACAAATTAAAACAAAAATACATTATACTGATGATTTTCAACATTACAAAATATTGCACCTTACCTCATGATAAAATCACTACACTTAACTTACTTTCAGAGTAAGTATAACATTTTCAACTTGATGCTTTGTATTTCCCAAACAAAAAAATAAAAATCCACTTTTTTAATCAACACACAAAGATAGTGGAATGTAACATTTAATGTTCTATGCATACAAAAAAAAATCAGTTTTCTTGCTCAATTTTAATTAAAAATAAATACACAAGATTAAATAATTTAATAAAAATCTTTGCTTCCTCCTCAAATTCAAAAACACACATATATAAAACACAATAATATTTCCCTTTGAAAACATTTTAAAATAAAAAAATCTGATATTTAGAAATCACATTGACGATAGAAAAATGCATCTGGCAAATTGGATAGCCAAATGATTAGCATACTTCAACATTTTATGTTCTTCATAACAAAATAATTTTAGGCTTAATATATACGATATTAATAACCAAATAAATACTTTGAAACTATGCCTAAACTTAACAATATACTAATGTAGTCTTCTTGCACTGGAATGAAATATATTCTATGTTTTCCTGAATTTTTGAGCTTCTGCTTAAACTATCTTAAGTTAGATGACAAATAGAAACAAACAAAAGTTATGGTAAATAAGGTCTCGGGTGTTTGAATAAAGTGATTATGGCAAACTTGAGAGTGCAGACACAGTTGTTATTGATGTTGCATATCTTCTCAACCATCCTCAGTTCACTAATGCAAATCCCTGAAAATTTCACACCACCACACTCTTTACAGAAGAGGTATTAACTTACCAATAATGGAAAAACAACCTGGAATTTATCCCGAACAAAACCATGGAAACAACAATGAATTTGTCATAAATAAGTCCAAAAAAAGTTATCAAGAATGAAGCCTGGGAAATATTGTTAAACTCATTAGCAGTAAAACCAAAGATACAATACTGGACTGATAGATAATGCCTAAACCAGAGGTTCCCAAACTGGGGTCCAAAGTAATACATCAGATTTATGAAACTACCATTTACTGAAAGAGTAATGAATAAAATAAAATGGTAAGACATTATTAAACTAATATAGTAATATATATATATAAATTACAAATTAATAATTGTAATTAACATAATTGAATAATGTAAATTCATTGTGTGCCTGGTACCATTGCCTGCCGATCACAAACTCTGGGAACAAGAAGACTAGCATGCTGATTTACCACTTCCCCTAAATGGTAGTAAAATAATTCAAGTACAAAATATTGGCTTATTAATCCTTATCCTAATTCTGATTTGTAAATGACTTAAAATATAATTTATAGTAATTACACTTCATTTAGTTCCCACCATAACAGTTGTTATTCCTGACACTGATGAAACAAATAATGCCTAGACTGCTACTATGTCTGCTATATCCCAGCCAGCCCAATGAGATCTAGAATTGAGTGAAGGGCCTTGTCAACAGTGGATGCTGCAGATATAGAATGGTTAACCTATTTACATATTCTTTCTTGCTTTGATGCATAGGGTCTTAGAATAATCAATAGTGAAAATAAGTTTGTTTTTAGATATTTACAAAAAGCTTCTTAAGGGCAATGTGCACTAGCTACCGCTAATTTTTAATGGATGGACTAGAAGGAAGCCATCTGGCCTACAGCACTACTGCCAACTCTTGTTTGACTGAATAGTGAGACTTGAAAATCACCCATATAATACACAGATAGTCCCTCTTTTTTTTTTTTCTTGCGGCAACAGGATGCAAATAGACCTGCAAATCTAACCACTGGACCATGCTCACCCTGTCTCCTGGGGGGACAGCTGTAAGTCTTTGGATTTACAATGCTAAAATCAGAGGGTTTGATTCCCCTCGATGGACACAGCAGATAGCCCGATGTGGTTTTGCTATAAGAGAAACACCATGCCTACCCCACAATAAGATTAAGGAAACAATGAAGCCAGAGAAATATTGTTGTGCTTATCAAAAGTGGAATCAAGGAAATAATGTTGAAAATATTAATAGTGAATGAAACAATACATAAACTAGCTTCAATATACACTTTGTGGATTTGTGTGTGTGTGTATTACAGTTCCAAGAAAATGTTTGCTCAAAACAATGATACTTTGTATAAAGTAAGATTTACAATAATCAGATCATCAAAACATATATATATATTAAAATACCAAACTAAGTTAGGTAATAATCAAAATCTTCAAATAAAACTTAAAAAAACTAACACAAGGTTAAGGTTGACAATTTAATAAATAAATCCAAATCATAACAATGAAAGAAATACACAAATTCTGGTGAAAATGTTTTAAATATATTAAAATAAAGAAAACAGAAAAAAAAGGCAGACATTTAATCAAAGAAAAGTTTTTAATTTGTATGTTTTCAAGTAAACCAGTTTCAACAGGTTTGAAATTTGGGTCACATATCATATCACTATAGGTTCTGGAGATCAACTTAACATGTTATGCCACCCATTTGTCAGATGTTCAAAAGTCCAAATTCCTTTCAGGTAAAATGCAGCTAGGTTTGTCACAATACACTTATCAACAGCATTGCAAAATAAAGCCTAGAAACAGTATGAATGAAGAAATTTCATTTTGCTTCTAAATAACAAGTTCTTTTCTAAAATTCTATATTATTTTATTGTCTTTTTTCATCTTTCATTTTCTGCACTCAGGGACTGCTGAAATTAATCCTACTCTTACTTTATGCTATTTTCTATTACTGAAAGCAAAGCTAAAAGGGAGATACTATGTTTATGACTAAGGGTCCAACACAGATAGTAATTCTAGGAACTTATGATTGAAACCAAAGAAGGTATAATAATATGTCAAACACACTATACATCTGCTTATATCCAGTGCAAATGAAGCTTTTTAGTACCATGCCAAAGATCATCAGGTCAGCTGAAACACAAAAAATATAGTAGTGCTTAAAAGATGCTATTTATATTATCAAAATGCATGAACAATAACTGTTGTGCGTAAACTAGATGTTAATGTAGTGTAATTTTTACAAATTTTCTTTAAGTCATTTATAAATCAGAATTAGGGTAACACATTATTATTTATTTATTTTAACACCAACTAGTTATTATTATTCATTTTTACTCATCATTCAGAAAAATGGCATTGAACCTCTAATTTAGCTACAGTCTTTTCAAAGTTAAAGATTTTTTTTAAACATCACCCAAACCAAAGAGAAGTTTATTTTATGAAAAGTCTTACATTAACAACAGCATCAATTTATACCTACTTTTCTCATTTTTAAAATGTCTTCACAACTTAAAATTGTTGGTAGAATATATTCTGATAACTGCATATTTTATTGTTAACACTGAGGGAGGAAAGCTCGAAAGAAAGATATGAAATAAAACTTGTTATAATTTACTGCATTTTCGAAGTTCTAAAGAATGTGTATGGGGGGGGGGTGTTTTGAAGGTGAGATGGAAATAACTTTGTATGCATCAGACAAAATTATAAGTATAGTATAAGTTGCATAATTTAGGTAACATTGCAATGAAAACATTCAGATACACAAATAAGTATATTTTTAAAGTGGACACTGTCCTGCAAAGCAATAAAGCTGGAATTTCTAATATATATATACTTGTATTAAATACATATAAATCATATACAGTGAAACCTTGGAAATATACTCTTGTTTTAAATTTAATCATAGAAATATAAAGCAAGCGAATATTGTTTACCAGCTCTTTAAAATTCTTTCCTAAACATAATCATTCTGGTTACTTTTTTTTCAAGTGGCATTGAGAAAGTAGTTTGTTACATTCAAATATACAAAGCCAACAGAACATTCAGTTTGGGAGGTAAAAAGGACTTGGTGGGTCAATATAGAATGATTAAATAAGTAACACAGTGAGGTAACTTACCATCGCTCAATATGCAGAGCCACTGGTTTGGGAGGTAGCGACTGTAATTGTTCTTTCTCCTTGGGCTAACTTCCCACCTTTCCAAGCTTTGAACTTCAAGAAAGTATCCACTCCATATAACACCACTGCAACAATGCCAAAGAACTAAAATGTAGATTTGTTTTCTTTAATTTCACTTAAATAGCAATTTGCACAATATTCTAAGAGTGATATAAATAATTACAAGTAAATATTACTGTAATTTATAATCCAATTCTGTTATAACATTGCACTTTTAATAGTTCTGGTATTAGTTCCTAGGTGGTGCTGCAAAGGAATTGTATATTGCTAAAGATGTGACTTGATCTTTTCCAGATTACTGCACTGGAAAAGTACACTTTGTACAGTAAAAGGCTAAAGGTAGGGTTAAACTACAACATAAGTTATAATAAAACTATCCCACAACTGGTATGTCAATTACACCAATGTACCTGAGCTTGGTCAAATGGATTGAGTCTGTACTGGAGAAGTAATGTTGACTATAATTCCAAAATTTCTTTGTGTATCTTCACCAAATGTGCCAAACTTGTAGTAAAAAAAGTACATGTCTATTGTACAAAAAAAAAATCAAACGTGTTAAAAAATATTTGTACTCAAGATATGTCTGTAAGTTAATGATGTCAGTTTGACTCTGGGAAGTTGGAGTGCAAGGTGATGTTTGTGTGAAGAGTAAAAAATACTTTTTTCTTTATACAGTTTGCATATTGCATTTGCATTACCTCTTCAACCTCTGAAATACATATCTAAAGTACTTTCAGTATCCCTGTATATTATATCTGGTAGTTACTCTCCTCTACCATGTTGCTAACCCTGAAATCAAATATGGAAATCTCACCTATGCACATTCAGTTAATTAATGATCATATATATATATATATATATATATAAAACAGAAGATAAAGGAAACTTCCTATTTTCCATTGTGTAAGTCCATAAAACCATTATTCCAGAATAATGTTCTGTTCTTCACATTTATTATTATTTTAGAAAACATTAAGCATATAATTAACTTATAATAAAAAATTCAGTATAAAACAGTACATGTAAACTGAAAATTTACTAATTTCCTTCAAAAATAAAAGTTCTGGTTGCAATTTTTTTTTTTTTATATTCAAGTTATCAATGTAAAGGATAAAGTTGTTACAAGACAACTGTTTACTAAGGTCACCAGAAACAGTAATACCATTTAATGGCAATTCAATGAAGACAAACATTTGCTGTGTAGTTTAACTCTCAAGTCTTTTGCAGATTGGTATTTATTGCAAAAAACATTCACATTTCTAACTCGAAGAAGAAAAAATATAAATTTACTCCACAGCTTATAAAACCACTCACATATGGCTGGAAATCAACTAATTAGTTTTACGTGGCCCCGTCTCAAATATTTAAACAAAAAATAACCCACCTTATATAGATATAAAATTCATTACTATTGTTGCACAGTTCTTACCGCAGCTGCAGGCCAAGTATCACAATGACGTCCCTTCAGTGATACCACTACAGCAGCAATGAGGTAGAAAATAGTCCAAATTCCACAGTACACTAGCTCCTTCCCGATAAAACAATAAATTTTGCTATTAATTATGTAAGGTATAAATATGATACAAAGTCACTTAACACAATATAACTGAATTATGTATAACACTTGTTCTTGTAAATTAATGACACATTGCACCTCCAAATTTTACAGCACTAGAATATCACAATGTATCAGTTAATCACTCAATATTACTATAAATCTAACTCTAGTAATACAGTACAGATGAAATAAGTCCCAGAATTAACTATTTTCCATCAAACACAGCTTAAGTAGTGGAACAAGCTACTTTTCACCTGTCATCACTTCAGCAACTGTACACCCTACAATAAAATCATTGATTTTTGTAATTCCTGGAAAATGTTTTTCTCCAATATTATAACAGATATTAATTTTTTTTAGGCTTCTGACCACACTTGAGCACCATCATACCTTTAATTCACAGTCCTTTGTCAAATTGTTGGTTTATTTCAACTTGATGATCTAGCTGTTATACAAATATTATGAACTTAAATCATATATAAATACTAAGGAATTTGATGTTGTATAAAGAGTGGAATTTTGTTCACTTGTCATAGGAAATTGACACATTTAATGTTCTGAAATGATAGCAGACTTTTGTACATTTTTGTTATATAACACTAAGGTATTTAATTAATGTCTACTGGAGTGGATGCTGCAAGCGTCTGGCTAAAAATCCTGATTTAGCCATCGGATCGTGACAGCTTCCGAAAACTAATCCAAACCATGTTATTATCGACCTTTTATAAATAAACCAAAAATTTTATATGGTATGGTATTATTATTAGGACATCATTAAAATAATTCTGGCAGAATCCACAAAAAATTACGGGTTTAAAAAAGTTAGCTTCCACTGATCACCCAGCCCTAAACACCAAATGGAAAAATGAATTTGGGTATTTGACTGGTTATAGCTGATTTTACACTACATATTTTACAAGTTTTAAAAATGTACTGACATGCATTTAAAATGTGTTGACAAAAAGACAAAAGTGTTACAGAAAAATAAAATTTCTCCTAACTATTTATACACAAAATACACTTTGTTAAATAACCAATTTGGAATACTTCTAATTAAAATAAAAGATGAAGAACCAAACTATTAATTTATAAAAATATACAGAATAATAGTAGAATTCTATTAAAATGCATTTAAATAAAAATATTCCTTACACTGTAAAAGCTATAATTTGGAAAAATACTTATCATTGGTAAGTAAACTCAAATGAAACTATACGTAGAAGTGTTTAACCATATATATTTATTCAGCAAATATCTAGATCTTAAGTACAAGCAAATTTCACATCACCAAGTAAACCATTGCACAAGTTAATAACATTAAGTAAGAAATAATTTTATTGAAATTTACATTTCCGACCTTCCATTCCATCGCTCATAAACAAATTGTCAAAACTCCTGACAAGCTTTAACACTTGGGTCAAGTCACACCTCCATTTCTTCTGTGCTCCAGAGAAAACACGTTCAAAACTTTTAACTCACTTCCTTCGTTTCACAAATTTATTGAACAATCTATCTCCTAGTTACCCTTTCTAGCACAGTATATACTACATATTACTTAATTCATTCTAATTCTTGAACACATTATAAAATTAGACCAAAATGTAATAATTTCATTACAAATTTCTGACATAATATTATTGAAATTGTGGCATCTGTAAATTGTAATGTTATTCCAAGTGTCCTACAGATTAATAGTAATACTTCTTAAAATACAATTATTATGTAATGTGTGTGTGCAGCAAGACCACTTCTACAAATTACAGCGCTCTACCTCTAAACATTCACAAAATAACAAATTTATTTGCATAAATATTAAATGCACACATTAAAATAAGGCGCGTTTTTATTTAATTTTCCATGACATCTTATGAATTACCAACTATTCAAATAAGACATTGTTTAAATTCAAAGGCGCCGTAAGTTGTAACTTAGGCGTAACTGTATGTGTAACACTAACAGTGTAAAACAATTCTAGTTTCATAATATCAATACAACTTAGGAAAGTGTTATTAACTTATTGTTAAAAAATAATAAACTGACACGTCTAAATGAAACGTTTTCTAGTTTATTTACTGCGATGTTTCGAGCAATGCCCTTTTCTGAATCTAATTCCATTGTAACATGGTCTTTACTGCCTGACGATGAGCGTCTGCTCGAAACGTCGCACAAAATAAACCAGAAAAAGTTTTCATTCAGAAATGTCAATTTATTCTTTGTTTATTATTTATTCAAGTTTTTGTTCTCACGCACTGAGCAACAACAATAACTCAAGAAATAACTTATTGTTAGTTGTTCTTCAGTATCTCTGTATTTGATTTTGACTCAGATTTTGAGTAACTAGCAATGGAACAACATACTGTTAAGTCTCCGTTTGTTAATTAATTTTCCGTAACTTCGTTCCGACGAAACTTTAGCGACACAAGTCCTTAC